GTGTCTAAAAGGGTTGGCATGGTCCAGTTTTGTGAGGTGCGAAACGCCGACCTTTCCCACCTGACAAAATCATTGCAAAATCAGGTCTGGCGGTCGGGCTGGCCGGGGAGGTCGCGGACGTGCCTAAACTGAGCCACATATGCGGAAATATTGGGGGGGGGGATACTTGCTTCCCAAATTAAAGGACCGGATAACCCCACATGCTATGTTTTTCCCAAATGTCCACACACATGTACCGTGCGCCCCTTGTATGGATGCGATTACAGAGCACCCAGATGCACAGAATGCTGCGCCTGCCACGACTTCGGCAACGGCATCGCCAAAGTGCTGCGCCTGCCACGATTTCGCAACGGCATCGCCAAAGTGCTGCGCCTGCCACGATTTCGCACGCCCCCCGCCGCGCGCGCGACAACATCCTGTCCCTCTAGACAGCTGCCGAATGCGACCCCTGCCACACAAACACACACCCAGATGCACAGAATGCTGCGCCTGCCACGACTTCGGCAACGGCATCGCCAAAGTGCTGCGCCTGCCACGATTTCGCAACGGCATCGCCAAAGTGCTGCGCCTGCCACGATTTCGCACGCCCCCCGCCGCGCGCGCGACAACATCCTGTCCCTCTAGACAGCTGCCGAATGCGACCCCTGCCACACAAACACACACCCAGATGCACAGAATGCTGCGCCTGCCACGACTTCGGCAACGGCATCGCCAAAGTGCTGCGCCTGCCACGATTTCGCAACGGCATCGCCAAAGTGCTGCGCCTGCCACGATTTCGCACGCCCCCCGCCGCGCGCGCGACAACATCCTGTCCCTCTAGACAGCTGCCGAATGCGACCCCTGCCACACAAACACACACCCAGATGCACAGAATGCTGCGCCTGCCACGACTTCGGCAACGGCATCGCCAAAGTGCTGCGCCTGCCACGATTTCGCAACGGCATCGCCAAAGTGCTGCGCCTGCCACGATTTCGCACGCCCCCCGCCGCGCGCGCGACAACATCCTGTCCCTCTAGACAGCTGCCGAATGCGACCCCTGCCACACAAACACACACCCAGATGCACAGAATGCTGCGCCTGCCACGACTTCGGCAACGGCATCGCCAAAGTGCTGCGCCTGCCACGATTTCGCAACGGCATCGCCAAAGTGCTGCGCCTGCCACGATTTCGCACGCCCCCCGCCGCGCGCGCGACAACATCCTGTCCCTCTAGACAGCTGCCGAATGCGACCCCTGCCACACAAACACACACCCAGATGCACAGAATGCTGCGCCTGCCACGACTTCGGCAACGGCATCGCCAAAGTGCTGCGCCTGCCACGATTTCGCAACGGCATCGCCAAAGTGCTGCGCCTGCCACGATTTCGCACGCCCCCCGCCGCGCGCGCGACAACATCCTGTCCCTCTAGACAGCTGCCGAATGCGACCCCTGCCACACAAACACACACCCAGATGCACAGAATGCTGCGCCTGCCACGACTTCGGCAACGGCATCGCCAAAGTGCTGCGCCTGCCACGATTTCGCAACGGCATCGCCAAAGTGCTGCGCCTGCCACGATTTCGCACGCCCCCCGCCGCGCGCGCGACAACATCCTGTCCCTCTAGACAGCTGCCGAATGCGACCCCTGCCACACAAACACACACCCAGATGCACAGAATGCTGCGCCTGCCACGACTTCGGCAACGGCATCGCCAAAGTGCTGCGCCTGCCACGATTTCGCAACGGCATCGCCAAAGTGCTGCGCCTGCCACGATTTCGCACGCCCCCCGCCGCGCGCGCGACAACATCCTGTCCCTCTAGACAGCTGCCGTGAGTCAGCGAGTGTGAGTGAGTGAGTGAGCGAGTGAGTGAGTGAGTGAGTGAATGAGAGTGAGTGAATGAGAGTGAGTGTGAGTGAGTGAGTGTGAGTGAGCGTGAGTGAGTGAGTGAGTGAGTTTGAGTGAGTGTGAGTGAGTGAGTGTGAGTGAGTGTGAGTGACTGAGTGTGAGTGAGTGAGTGTGAGTGAGTGTGAGTGAGTGTGAGTGACTGAGTGTGAGTGTGAGTGAGTGAGTGAGTGTGAGTGAGTGAGTGTGAGTTGAGTGAGTGTAAGTGAGTGAGTGAGAGTGAGTGAGTGAGTGAGTGAGTGAGTGAGTGAGTGAGACGGAGACGAGCGGGAGGAGGAGGAGGAGGAGACGCGGCGCGCGGACGACGAGCGGAAAAAGTAAGAACCCCACACAAAGATGTGGGGAAAAAAGACTTGGATCAATGTTGATCAAGCTTGATCAAATTTGATCAACTGAATCAACTGCATGGTGTTGATCAGATTTGATCAAACACGATCAAGTTGAATTCGTTTAGGTGGGATGCCTGCACAAACATATACTAATACTATTGGCCGGAATTCCAGCACCATCAACCCTCGCCAAGGGCCAATTGAAAGTAGTACAACCCCTATTTATTTGCTGCTTCATCTTCCTTTTTGGCGAAGACCCCATGCCACCCAACACAGGGCAAATGCAATGAAGATAAGAAGGGGGAACAAAAAAGGTGGTGGAATGGTCTTTGGACTTACGGAAAGTTTGCCAGGTGACAACTGCACAAATGCAAAGGACATAGTATGGTTTGTTCAGAAAAGAGGAAAACAAGCTGGAGCAAAACCAGGAGAGAAACTGCAAACATTCTCAGGGCAATGCTAGGGAAACAGGAGGGCTTCAGGGCTTGGCCCCAGAACCAAACATCAACCAAAGGCAACAGTAAAAGAAAAGGAATAGAGAGCAAATCCACGTGGCTTTGATGCTGCCTTGCAGCTGGCCAAACCCAAGTTTCTGGAGATATGTCTAAGAAGTGCCCATCAACGGTACGTGAACGTTCTATGCGTTTTCTGCGGTTGCTCTATGATTGTTTTCAATGAATTATATAGCTACGAATTGTCTATGCACTGTTAATGCACTAGGAGGCATTTAGGGAAAGTTCACTGCTACATCAGAGAAATGCATTCAATGAGCATGCGTTACCTGTGAACTGAAAATGTGGCCCTCCCATCACTGACAGCAAATGTATACGACAACCAAGAGGGGTCGGTGACCGCAAGGGTCAAATTCAACGGGTCGAAATCTGAGACTCAATATTGGCAATACTAAACTTAAAATTGCCAATACCAAGTTAAGTATTGGAAACTAAAGATTCAGTCTTGGCAATACTGAATATAGGAAGTCTTTGTGCAATATCAAATTTAGAACCCTCAATAGTAAGGGACAGTCCCATTCTGATGGGAAATGAGGACATCCAAACTGAATCAAACAAACAACCTGGTAAATGCAAAATGCAAAGCAACAAAAGATGCAAATCGAACAACATGTCAGCAACAAAGCCCCACACGCGCAGTACTTTTTTCAGGACGAGTCAATTAACATTTGAAAAAGAAAGCTTGGACATTCAAAACAAATACCAAACATGTCGGCAACCATGTCCCAGGTGAAAATTAAAAAAGCAGAAGCGCAACATTCCAAAAAAAAGAGGGACTAGAACGGCACAAACCATGTCCCAAATGGAAACTCAAAAGCAAAACATCTGTAAATGCACAATGTCAAACACCAACTCGATAATTCAAACAAACACACACACACACACATACACCAAAACAAAGTCACAACACAAAATGTCGCCAACCATATCCCAAATAGAATTCCCCAACATATCCCAAGTAAGCGTAAAGCTTCAAAAGAGAGCCTCGAGAATTCCCAAACCCAAACACACAACAAAAACAACACGTCAGCAACCACGTCCCACGTGGAGATTCCAAACAACCTGCAATAAGTGCAGAATTTTCAAAATAACCTCGAGAATTGCTATAAAAGCAACTCGCCCAAAGGTTCCAAGCACATCTTTAGGACAGCTTCGGCATGGTTTTGTATTTGTGTTTTTCCCGATTTCCATGCTGTGGAATTTTGCACTCTCTCGCTCGACCGCCAATGGCGTTGCGTGGCAGGCCCTCCATCGCTTCATCTGTAATTTCGATTTTCGCTGCGCAAAGCGACGAGCGTGTGCGCAGCACAAGCTGACGCGAAGATCTCTGTAAGATTAGCTGGTTGCTTTCGGTCTTGTCGAAAGATATTTGCCTTTGGACATACAATTCGCGCATCCGACAATAACTACCTAATGTCATTACGCAGATATTTTGCTTTGTCAACCTTAAGAATTTTGCAGCCTTAGGGTAGGGGTTCTATGTGTCACTGCCGGTTGAGCCTCAGTTATTCTCTGTTGAGTTAGAAGGGAGGTTTTTGCATTGATTTAGCAAACAGCCACATGAATAGCGTTTCAAGTTCATTGACTAGAACCAATACCCGGTGCTCAGGAAGGGTGGTGCGACCCCAACAAATCCTAGATCTACTCCGGGTTCAGAAGTGCCCGGTATTCTTATGTGTGTTGCAGCCGGAACTTCCGTAGTACTGGAACTATTTGAGCTAGCTCTCTCTATGAATGCATGCACTTGTACGTGATCTAGTCAACGCGTGGAAACGCGAGAACTATGCGTGAATTCGGCTCACGTGCGGAGCGGGCTCAGAGACGGACCGGTTGGCACGCCTACACGCGCTGCTCCGCAACTTTCAAATAAAGCGATCACTCTGTGCACTTTGGGCGTCGACCCTCAAAAACTCGCTGCTGTGCGAGTTTCACGTCGCTCGCGCAGCCCTTTGCGGACTTTCGGGGCGTCGACTGCAAAACAACGCGATTTACTCGTTTCAGCTTGCGCAACCATCAAAACGTGAATGCTCTGTGGATTGTTTCTTTCACTTTTGTGGGCGAGAGACAGAGAGAGAGAGAGAGAGAGAGAGAGCTAAAACCAAAAAAGGGAGCGAGCGAGAAAGAAAGGGCGAGAGCGAAGGCGAAATATTAGCACTCTTCCACCAACAAATGTTCGAAACATGCCTGACTCCGTTCCCATCCATTCATCGCCAGCAATCTGTTGAATTACTGTGGGAAGACCTCTCTCTTCCCAGCATTGCACGAATCCATTCAGCCTTGATCCCTCCATAGTTCTTCAGCTGGACAATGGGCAACTGCTGAGAATACCTCTGCCGACACGTCCGTCCACAGAACCTAGGCGTGTCTGGCACCGCTACACAACAACAGTGGAGCTGGAGATCAACTCGCAGAACATCCACAACTGTTATTGTACGCTGTCAGACAATAAAATAAACCAGTTGCCCCAGTGGATGGTTGGTTGAGGTCAGGGACCCTGGCGCAAAACACTGGCTGAAAACCTCTCAAAGCACAAACGCCGCCATCGGCCGAGATGCTCGCCCGCCTTGCCGTTCCAGCTCTTTTGCCCACATCCAGAGGCGCACAAATTGGTGGCTCCGGAATCGGCGCCGGGTGCAATTTGAACTTGAGGCACCGTGTGGACATTTCCTTTCCAGCTTTAAACAAAAGATCACGTCATGCTCAACGGCACACAGCCATCAGCACGTACAATAGACATATAGACAGTTTGCGCCGCTTTGCCCCGCTAGCACTGAAAGTTGAAACATGTTAAGAGCAAGGGGCGGTTGCAAGGCTGGCCCTTGCGACAGCTCTTGCAGCAATAGCTTCCGGGAAGTCCGTCATAGGAAGCGGCGCAGCAGCAACCAGGGCGGGCACACCTCAGCATCTAAGCCTTCCAGCTGGCTTGGGCCAACAACTGCTTGAACTGCTGTCAGGCGTAAGGTAGCATTGCTACTTCAGTTCGAGCAATCCATTGGCGCCACAAGTTGCAGCAGGATACCTTGAGAAAGACGTAGCAGCTGCCAGAGAAGCCGGAGGCCCTGGGTTTGAGGGCGTCATGTGCGATGCAGTTTGGCAGGGCCGCCCTCCTTGACAGCTCTTGCAACCTCAGCAGTGAACTGGGGACAGTGGCCAACTGAACAGCAAATGGGTCTCAAGCATACGCCCTCGTGTGCACAAGCATGCGCGTGCTTGGGCGCAAACAGAAGCTCTCAGGCTGGCCGTCAAAGGATGCTGGGCATGGGCACCCATTCTGCGCGCCCGCACAGCGCGCAAAGCCTGTGGGTAAACGAATCACTGCGAAACATACCACGATCTTGGGAACACGACGTGTGTTTCAACGCGACCCGTGCCTCTGACCAAAGACAGTAAGCTCTTCCACGTAGCAATTGGCATTGCTGGATGAGCCTTGGAAGTCACTTAGCAACAGCTGCTGGCCTGGCTACGGATTCAAATTCAAGAGCTAGTTTTCGCGAATCTTGAAGAACAAGCCGCTTGCTTTCCAAGGCTGGTACGCCCTAGGCGTCTAATTCCAACCCTATCAGTGGCGTTGAAGGTGGATTCGACCAAGCAGCTACAGGAGGCAATGGGTTTGAGGGCGTCATGTGCGATGCAGTTTGGCAGGGCCGCCCTCCTTGACAGCTCTTGCAACCTCAGCAGTGAACTGGGGACAGTGGCCAACTGAACAGCAAATGGGTCTCAAGCATACGCCCTCGTGTGCACAAGCATGCACGTGCTTGGGCGCAAACAGAAGCTCTCAGGCTGGCCGTCAAACGATGCCGGGCATGGGCACCCACTCTGTGCGCCCGCACAGGGCGCAAAGCCTGTGGCCAAGCGCCAGATGTGGCCCTCATGCTCAATCAAACGCTTCTCGTCTCAGTGTGATGCACTGCAAAAGGCACCTGCGGCCCTGCGCTTGGAACTCTTGCGGCACGTTTTACTGCAATAGCCTGCAACATGCAGGCAAACTTGTCTCAGCCGTTCGGCTTCTTCGCGGGGCATTCAAACTCTTGCAAGTCAACAGCTCAAGCTTACTTGTGCAGGAGAACAGCATAGCCGCGGGGATGCTTTGTCGTAACTCTAGGCCCCACGCCTGCATTGCCATCGTAGGTTGGCTTAATGCAGCCTGTCGCCATGCAAACGGCTGCAGCCATGGGCGTTGTTCACGCCCGGAGGCAAAGAGCATAGAGCCAGAGTTGCTGCAAGTCTCAACATGCCGAATTCTTGCACAGCAGACTCAGCCAAACCGTGTCTGGAGTCTGCCTTACAATGCTGCAGCAAACATCACCTCTGCGTGACAAGCAAAGAGAAGAACCGCCTGGTACAACCCCCTCGCCAACCTCCTCAATTATTGCCTCCTGACTATAATCCACTAGAATATAAGTGGTCGGGACTCTTTGTGATCGTAGCAGGCAGAGCCATGTCCTCAACGTGGCACGATCCAATATGGGACAACTTCATTGAGACAGTCGCCGAGTCAAAAGAAGACGACAGCAGCCACACATCAAGCTCAGCAACGGCGCAACCACACGCACTGGAACTCCTCCGGCGGTTACTGCTCCATCACGCTTTCTCTCACGCATGCGGCCGCCGTCTTGCCAAAGTCTTGCCGAGGCCGCGCCGAAGTTCAAAGTGAACGGCATAAATCAGGCAGCTGAATGACTGCAGCTTGCCGAGCACAGGAAGGGAAATGCGGCTGTACAAAAATGCATTCACCATGCCTGAAAATTTGGGCTCCTTCTGCTGACGCTAATCACCAGGAGAAACGGTTTTGACATCAGTTGGTATGGAGCACCTCAACATGTCGGTGAAAACGGTTTTATATCACATATTCAATGACATGCAGCTTTAGTCGCGCTGATGTTCTATTATGCTCTATTCATGCCTGCTTTCATGTTTTGGAAGTCGCAGCCGGAGCCTTGTCAAGCACCCCGCAAAGGCCTTGTTCAATCGTCAGCGATCCCTCAAGCCTGGCGAATGTCAGAGACCTCGACGCATCAGAGAACACAAGGGCAGCAAGCTTTTCTGCCCCCACAGACTTGTGGCCAACAGGCACTTCCGAACAACATCATGCACTCAATAAGTTACATCTGCGATGTTCACACTGACAATCTGTTTTCCGCCCCTATCGAAACATCATCTGTTGGCAGCCCAAGCTGAGTGGCTTGGTCCCAGCTGTAGACCACGTATTCTATGCCAGTGGGGCGGTCCAAGACCTTCACAGAGTCGAACCCTTCGCTCTGCAAGGACGTGAAGGTGGTGTTGTACGCAGTGCCACAAACCGCCTTCACTTTGCCAAGCCGGACCTCGTCACAGGGCTGACGGAATGAAGCCGCATCAACCGCATATCACAAGAGCGCAGTGCCCAAATTACAGAGTGGCATCAAACTGACTTGCATGTGTGTGCGTGTGTGTGCATAGTTGCAAGTCTCTTGAGCGTATTGGCCAGCGCCGACGTAAACTCATGACTGGCGTAGTCCAGCACAAACCAAGAGGACTGGCAGCGACTGGCACGATTGACTAATCTGCGTTGCAAGCTGCGGAGGCTTGCAGGATGACACCACGCTTGTGGGCCTTCTTGTTGGTGGCTTCCTGCAGAGCTTGTTGCGTCACCATTGGATGAAGGCCAATGCTTTCCAAAAAGGGCGAGCGCCTTTCCTCGCAATGAGCATTTGTTCGCGCCACTCAAGAAGGGAGTGGGGCTTTTGGGACTCACCCGAGAGTAAAGCTCTCATAACACCCGATAGTTCTCAAATTGTTTTCATGCCGCAGCATTTCCTGGTGCATTTCATTCTCCTGTGCATCGCACTTGGTCCGAAGCCGTGCTTTCTTGCCTCCATGCCGTTTCAGCCCTTGTCCTTGCTGTCAGCGAAGTAGATACCTCCACCAGCCAGTCCACCGGAGCCTCTCCGCATCTTTTGCGACCTCGCTCCACAGCACGGCCCTCGTGTCTAAACCATGCTTAAAGCATCACAGATCCGACCAGGACTACGAAAGTCAGAACGGGCCATCCTGAGCAGACAGAAACGTGAAGGACATTTGATGCGCTTTCAGGCGCTTCAACTAGCGAAGCAGTGCCATTGGATGAGGGCACCAAGGAAGATGGCCTTCTCATTTCGGCCGGCTCATTTCCCCCTCTCACGTTTGATCTCAATCCCCTGGCCTCAAGATCTCACGGGCAGCCTCCGGGCTAGTCTGGTGGTACAGAACCTGAGCTTACCACGAATGCCAAAGGCTCATGGAGAGGCTTTGCGAGTCACACCCCAGAGGCGACATTTCTGCAAGGCGCCTTGGTGACAAATACATTTTGTCGAGCGCTTGGCAAACGATGGTCGGAGACCAAACTCAGCAACAAAAAATGCAATCGACTTAGCAAAACAAAATCCTGCTTCATCATGCCAAGCATCCGGATCATGCAGTGCCTGATGAAGCTGAAGCTTCTGAAGATGGAGCTGTTGAAGCGACCCAAGGCTCTCCATCAAAGCACTGATCCCACCGATGCCGCAGAATGTCCGGTGCCCAGTGGCCTTAGGCACGATTGCTCAAAAGCGAGAAAAAACTCTGACAACACAAACAAGCTGCTTGCACTGGGCTCTTACGTGACATCATTTGAGTTCCTTTTCATGTACTCTGGTTGCGCGGTGACAAGAACACCTCTGATTATACCCCTCAAATTTCTTAACCGCCGGCATGTCATGCATCGCACTCTTCTGCTGGGCCACTTCTGTGTGCTCCCAGGACTCTGCACGGTTCGCGCAAGAATGCCCACATGTCTTGCAAATCATAGGGTCTGGAGTCCGATCCTCGCTGCCCTCTCGCTCGCCGTCTTTGCGCTCGAACCTCGAATGCCCGGTCTCCTGTGGCATGGGGGGTGTTTGCGCAAGCCTCAGCCCTCCCCCCCCCTGCAGTAATCAACAACTGCCTCTCCTCCGTATGCTCCCGCGACTCTGCACGGCTTGCGCAAACATGCCCACATGTCGTGCAGGTCATAGGGTTTGTAGTCCGATCCAGTGAGAACCCGGTATGCCCAGTCTCCTGTCGGGCACAGTATGTCTGCTCAAGCCGCTGACTGACGCAGTACTCCACAACGACCTCTCCTCCGTATGCTCCCATGACTCTGCACGGTTTGCACAGGAATGCCCGCAGGTTGTGCAGGTCGCAGGGTTTGGAGTCCGATCCTCACAGCCATCCCTCACGACTGAGAACTCGGTATGCCCAGTCTCCTGTCGCATGCTACTCAGCAAAGTGAGCTGTGTGTTGCTCGCTCAAAAAGCACAAAAGAACGGGGGTTTAAACGCTGCTGTCGCTTGTTGGTTCTAATCAATCTGAAAGCTAGCAAGCTAGTTGTGCACTGATATGACGCAAAGCCAAATAATCAAGCAACAAACTCGATAACACCCACTCTTCAGTATCGAGCCAGGACTCTGCATGGTTGGCGCAAGTTTACAGTCTCCACATTGACATGGGGTGCAGTTGATTGCATTTGACAATTGGTAATTTGCAGCGTTTCCAACGCTGAAAAAGGCTTGATGCGACCACTTCGAGCCTCAGGCTCATTCCGCCGACTGCTGCGGTCGCCGGAATGAGTTGTGACATGTTCCCTTGATTTGGATGATGGACATATGTCGGAACTTGACGAGCGGTGTATCTTTGATGTTGATGCTTGATATTCGAGGATTGATGCATGGTTGATGACTCTGATGATTGACATGTACTTGACTTTGGGCTGGCATAGCCCTTTGAGCTGGGAGTGGGGAGTGGGGAGTGCGGTGCGGAATGGGGTGTCTGTCAGGAGTGTGGAGTGTGTGGAGCGTGGAGGAAAAACACCCTAAAAAGCGCCCACTGCAAAACATGTCATGTGGGTAACTATGTGATGCCTGGTCTATTTGCTTGTTCGCTTATGACATTGCACGTCTCCTTTTTACTTTGTACCTTTCTGGTTTCTTGTTTTTCTCTTCCATCTTGCTCACTTTTATTCTTATGTCTGCAGCGGTTCTCGCTTTTACTCTGCTCTATCTTGCGGTATGAACAGAATGCGCTTGCTGGGAATCCCACTATCTCGGAGAGGGAGCCCCGCAACCAACCCAACACCCACAGATTTGCGCACGTGCCTGGCCTCAGTGTGAATCCAGGACTCCGCGCGATTGGCGCAGGCATAGCCGCATGCCTTGCAGGTCCTGCGGAGTGGGGTTCGGTCAAAATAGCCAACCTGCTGCGTCTGCTTGAACTCTGCGTGCCCAGTCTCCTGGTGCTGAGCACACGACATGCTGACTCCTAGTGAAGGGGCGTACCGAAATAAAGCGGGCACCCTCCATCCAAATGGATGGGTTCCCTTTGGTCTTGAAATTCAGCCGCCAAAACCCAACAGCGAACTGGGTGTGTCAAAGCATGCTTACGGTGACTGCAAGCCTTGCTCCTCCACAAGGCTGATGTAAACCTCAAACTAGAAAGTCAACACTTCACATTAAACATTTGTTAAGCAGCGGTTCCAATGGTTACGTAGTTCAGGATAGAGATTACATACTGTATATTGAGCAAATCGCATGCCAAACAATGCAGAAAACACAAAACCTCCGTGGCGTGGTGAAGACCGGTCCAGCGTGTGGACATATGTCTCAGCCCGATTTTGGCACTGCTGCCCGCAGGTTGTACATAAGATGAGCAGCTTGTCGCGCGCCGTGGCAACCAAATCAGCTGCCACTGCTACAGCCGCATGCTGAAGCGCCATGTGCTGGATCACGCTCGCCACGCGCTCCGCCACTTCATCCATGTCCTCAAGCGCCCGCTACAAGGAAGTGAAAGCCAGCTATGGTGTTCGCCTTTGAAAGAGAAACCAGAAGGAAGAAAGCTTCATCAAGGGTGAGGTTGCAAACCCCCTGTGAAGTTCCAAAACATGTCCGAACTATGTGTTGGATGTTTCATCGCGTACAAGCCATTCGGACATTTTGGATTTTCTGGCTTCCTGGCTTGCAGGGTTGTTCTGTACTTCCAGGGATCTTATCCTAGAAGCACACTGAATTCATTCACTTGCTTGTACGACCCAAAAAGAAAGCCCAACCCTCCTGAGTAAAAGCGTCCAAAGTTAGATCCCTCGATTTCTGAAGGTGCGACTAAAAATAAAACGCTTGCCTGCGATGACCATGCCCCTTCAAAACTAACGCAGAAACATGCAAATACGCAAATGGAAGCCTATAACACTATACCTTGCCAAAAAACAATTGCCTTCTTCGTGGGGGCTCGAATCGTTTCCTATTCCGCTGAACAATCACATATCACGCGCCCATGTCTACACAAATTTCCTTAGTCATTTTGGGGGGAAGTTCTTGCATCCGCGGACGAACACTTCTGCTGGAGTCTACACTCTGTAGATGACCAAGTGGTCGTTTTACGGTACGTACCCCTTCCAGGCTTTATTTTGGTTGAAGCTTTAGCAGCTAGCGTATCCACTCGCATATCCTGTGAACAGGCTCCATGTATGCGTGGGAGATTGGCCACGAATGAATGCATCGATAGTACAGTAGGTGTCGTGTCGAGTTCCTTGTAAGAATAGATATGATCACGAGAGCACTGAGGCCGCAGCTGTTCTCTGCCGGCGAGCATGGCGAAGTGTCAACGATGCCACTTCGGCTTCCCCTCAGCTTCAATTCAGTGCCATCGCACATCTTAAATCTTTGTTAGAGTTCTACAGTGGATTCTACCTCGGTGTTTGCCTCCGACTAATAATAACATGTTCACATTCTGGCTCATATTCAGTGCACCTGAATAAATATGACAGATGTCAAAAGAGTGTTCACGCAACTGTGCAAGGAACAAGGGCAACCCTGCAATTGACTATGGCATTGTGGGAAATGCATGCTGAAGCTCCCTTGATTCAGGCAAATGGTGTGATTGCCACCTGCCACTTATCTACAGCAAATCAACTCTGTTGCTCGAACCTATGCAAACGCCAAAGTCCTTGGCTTCCCGTTCAAGAAAGAATCCTGGCTGCTGCTCCTTCCCCAATCCCAACCAACCCGACAAAAGGAGCCCTCCACCCCGACTGGTCAGCTGCCATCGTCTCAGGCCGGATTCTTAAGTAGCCAAAATAATTCCACCATCATTTCCTGACCCAAAGGGTATGTCAGCAAAGACCTTGTTTCTTCGCAGCCCCCGCAGACAATGAACGGAAACAAAATACTGAAAGCGATGCAGAGTGGAAATCGTATTCTGCGGACGGTCTTTCCTAACATACCGAAAAAAAAAAAGGAACTTAAACATCACCCCTCACTGCCGAATCGCGATGACAAACTGATAACAGTCAAACATGGGAAATACCGGGAACTTGGTTTCCCCTGGAAAGGGCTCCTAGAATCAGTGGAGCAAATCTACAAGCCCCGGACTGAGCTGTCCAGTGGCTAAAAAGGTCATGGGCTATTTCCAGGTGTGGCTGGGTCTGCCCCATGAGCAAAGGAGCACAAAGGCTGTCTGGGATGCTGACGAGCAAGGCGCTGCGAAGCAACTTGCACATGAATATGTTGCATCTATCCACAATTATCCTTATATCGTATCCTGTAGCATGCACCCTGCTTAGGTGCGCTCATAGGCGCGTTGCTGAACCTCCTGCAAGTGTCAAGCTTGACCGACCTCACGCTTGTCATTCTCGGCTAACCTCGGTCCTGCATAAGTCTTGCCAAGGTCAGCAATGACTTAGCTAATTCCTGGACATTCGGCAGGGCGGGACGTTCAGCAGAGCCGTGGTAAAGCATAGGTACTAGCGACCAGTTTGTTGGCACCCTGCTGAGCTGCACGCTAGGCCCGCTAGGCTTGGAGCGAAAAGCCCATGCGCATTGAAGCGCCAATTCCATGCTTGCCACTCAGGAGTCCAGGCGAGCCACGGTCAAACTCTGGGTTTATGCCAACAAAAGTCCTTTGGTGGTTGTGGGAAATATGGCGAGTCCCTGAAATCAACCAAAATCTACTGGATATTTTGACCGAGCCTCTCAAAAAAAAGGCGGGAGGCTCTGCCCCTTCCCTGCAGCGGATTCTACGCAGTTGGGATCTCTTCATCTTCCATGAGGCTCAGCATGTCTCAACCCTCAAAAGAGTATCAAATACCTTACCGGTTGACTTCACAGGCGAAACAAAACCTCACATACATAAATGGGAAACGTCCAACCAAAATTAAGTTTCAACACATTGGCTGGTAAGAGACAGTGGCAGCATCTGGTCATCGTGGGGCGCCATGAGCTCGTCATTGCCGGTGCTTTTGTTCGCCACTCTGGAATGAGTCCCCGGAGGCAAGGGCGCGGACCTGCCAGGATTCTCCAGAAGAGGGTTATTGAAACACTTGTTTGGAGGACATCCACAAAACATGGCGTCTATATTGTGAATCTGAGCATGACGTGAAGCAAAGCACTGGCCCAACAAGGGGTCAACAGCTCTAATGAGCCATTCTAGTGGGGTCTATCGAGCCAGTCGATAATGTCGTTTATTTGGGCGAACAGAACTCGCAAAGCCCACAATCTCTTGGAGCCTTAGGCATTCCAAGTGCACCAAATAAGACTGTAATGTGAAAGGCACAAGAAAAGACTCAGCCCTGCACGTTGGGTTCTGCACAACGTCAGCAACTCCAACCTGTGCGCAGAGAATCACTCATGGCAATCCAGCGGCTGAGGAAATGCCAAAGAATAGAGTTCCGATTAGTAGTCTCTCTACAGGGATCCCGCTCAAGCGAAGTGAGCAAACATCCAGCGACAATGCCACCAAGAAGTTGGTAGCTAGCTGAGGCCGGAGCTGCCACAAGTGTCATGATCAGCGCATTGCCATAGCCGTGGGCAGTTGAGGACTTGGCGGAAGCGTAGTGGCCCGGGCCGAAAGATCCCCTGGGTCGCTGAATTTGTCTAATGACCCATGGGCACAATAGTGTTCTCAACTTTTCACGTCAAGAACATCAACTGTTCACCTCAAGTCAGGAGCTTCAACTCAAGAATGTTGTCATCGCAGCACCAAAGGAAAACGCAAAAGCGAGCGCTTGAACCAAAGGAGATGCACTGTGCCAGACAGGTTGAAGCCCTCGGCTCAGGATCAATACTTTCAAAGCGATGGCCGACAAATGCGCAAGGCGTCAGAAACCGAGGGCTCCAAACAGACGCATAGGGCGATAGCATTTGTCCAACGTTGCTCCGGGGCTTATGCACATCCTTTCGCTGCCCGCCTAGTGCGGGTGCAGCGGCGCAATGGATACAAAAATGGGGCTGAAGCAAGATCGACTGTTCACAGTCTCAGGCGCAAACATGTGATTGCTGTAGTTGTGCGAACATGGCCACCATGGCAAAAGCTATCTGTGGCAATCATGCATGTCGAAAGGTCTGAAGTTTACGACTGCGCGAGTCAAGGATTCGCTCGCAAACTATCGGGGTCAAGTGCCCACATCCTGAACATGAGCAAACTGCCCCCACTCTTCTGAGGAAACTTGGCGCGAGGGGGTCAAGACGGTCGACAAGCTCCTCAAATTGATAAGAGACATGAAGAAAGAAAGGAAACAAGTGTAATTACCTCAAGACTTGCGTGGTTGGACAAAAGCGTGAGGCATTTGCAGTGGCAATTGGCAAGGGCTGGAAAGACGACGGGAAGACACCACAGCAAAAACCAAGACGCGCGACAAGCTCAAGCCGAGTGTGCAGGACAGCGGGGCAGAGCGCGCAAAGACGCAAAGACTTTGGTGCTGTTGTTGGAAACAGAAACATCTTGCAGACACGCGGCACCGCAAGTGTCCTGCAAAGTTGCGATAGGTCTTTCTAAACACTCTTAGCAACGTGTTGCGCATCAGCCAATGATGTGGAAGCGGGAGTCCAACGCGGCAACTGAAGCAAGCCGCGTTGTTTATTGAAGTCCGAGGCACATCAAGCACCCGCGTTGGGGGTTCGACCTGTTGGTGAAGAGGCAACGATACCCAACCACACAGCGGTCGGAGCTGTCTGAAAGGAATGGACAGATTGCGCCGCGTTCAACACGTGTGAAGAATGTTGGGTTGAGTGTAAAAAGCTGTCAAGAAGGTCGACAAGGACACGCTCTCGTCAGGCCTTGTGCACTCAAGTGCTTGCGCTGATCGCAATTGTCATTTGTGGCCACCGAAGGTAGCAATAGCCAAACGAGTGGAGCACGCAGCATGTGACTAAGCTCTATTTGCACCATTGTTTGGCTCAAGGTTTTGAGGGCTAGCGCCTTTAGGGGTGTTGTTCATAGGCCTTGCGACATCCGGCTTGCAACTAGCACGTTCTTCGGGGGCCTACTTGGGAGTTTGTTCCACAAAAATTGAAAATAGATTGCAATATGGCAATATGCCTCCAAGCTCACCCTGCTTCGTCATGCAACAACATGCAGAAACGTGTCTGCTACAAAAGCCTGATATTCAGCCAGCATGCTGGTTGCCAGTGTTGCTTGACAAGCACTGGATAGAGAAGCCGTTCTTGATAATGGAGCAGGCACGGCAGCCTCATCAAAACACACATGTGGACGCTTGACGCATGATATCGAGGCTCTCGCCTGAATTCGTGCACGGTTGACCACTGAATGTGCAGGTGATTCCTCAGCTAAGGTAAAATGTCTTGTAGCTTTCTCACAATTCACCACCAAGAGGTCAGAATCCAAGCCGAACCAACCCACACTTGTCACAGGACTTGCGCAATCTAAGTGCAGCCTTGTCTCGAGTTCCGTGGAACCGGCATTGTTGGTTGCCGAGAGGGTCTCCCCGGCCCCAGGGCTTCACACGCCCGATGCTGCTGCATTTTCTGAGGGAAATGCAAAAACTCTCACTCAAGGCCAGCGTGAAACATGTACCCCGGTCCTCTGATAGGCGTCTCTCACATGGCTGCTTGCCTGATACGCTGACGCATCAAGCGTGTACATTTCTAAACATGCGCATCCCAGTTCACAAGTTGAGTGGTCCCAAGTACAAAGGAGCCAAGACTCATGGATCTTGTAGATGGCACGGATCTTCGGCGCAGTACCCCGGTTCCAACCGCTTTGGAACTGCCTCGGGGCGGTGAGCCACCCACAACGGCAACAAAGGAACTGCGGAGTCCCTGGCTCCTGCACGCGGGCGAACCTTGGCAAATACGCTTCGATTGCCGGTACCATCAAGCACAGCGTGCAAAAAGTGGCCAGTGCTAGCGCTCGTGCTGTGGCAAAAACACACACACACACACACCAATTGTCTGCCACAATGACGACAAACTTTCCGACCTCCCACTTGAGCACAGCTACGAAGAGGCTTACTTGCAAAGGGGCGCCCTCCCCGCCGCGAACCTGGCCCGCTTTTCCCGACCCTGCAAAAATGCGGTTGCTGTTGACCCCCGCACGCAAACACATACACATACACACACACACACATGCACACAAACACTCACATGCCTTGAGCGCTTGTTTTGTGAAACTCTAGCATGGAACGCTGGCAGCGTGTAACGAAGCAAAACGGTGCGCAGTGGAAAAACCCGGGTGAAGCGTTGGCAATGCTCGTATGCAATGCGATTGAAAATCCAAGCCCTGAAAATGAAAAGGCGCAATCGGCAAGTGGGCGCAACTTGATTGACAACTAGTGCACCATAAGGCATCAGCTCGAGGTTGTAATAAGGTTAACGAATGGATGACTGGGATCTGCTTCACTGCGCAGCACCGTCGTCCATCTTGTTGATGTCAATGTGTTGCATGACTGAATGCGCAAAGGGTGTATGCCAAAAGGTGCTCAGCTGCGAGAGACTGCGAGTTGCAGCCGGACCCTCGGCGGACGCCGCGATCGATCAAGGGTGTTGGGCTAAAATGCGAGGAGAGGATGCGCTGACATGGGTGTCTGTTGAAGGGAAGCTGCCGGCATGAAGAGTCAAGCATCCGACTGCAAAGCTGCACTCTCAGATTGCATCCCCAACACAATACTGAACAGCCCCGGAATCAGAATGAAACACACCGAAACAAATCATCAATGGACTGCCTCCTGTCACGCAGCAGAGGCGCGTTGCCCTTTCTAAGCGTGAAATGATGCGGGGTGTTGCGGCAAGTTTGGAATCTTCGGCAACATGGCAGAGCGTGCATCAGCTTGCAAACCATTACATCACCCTTGAATCCTAGACCTGCGGGGCACACACACAATTGATACATACATATATATATATATATATATCTGCGTGTACTTGCTTATTATTTGTATCCATATGTGATATCGTACAAAAAGATGCCCGCCCATCCGCCCGCCCAGAATCAAGCAAACACGCACACACTCCGACCCTCCAAACCACAGATGAAAAGACCAAACTTGCGCACCAAGCCTGTAATTACCGGTCTCCCCCCCCCCTGTCTGCTCAGCAGCTGCTCTTGCGTTGCCTGTGCACAATGCGCCCCCGCCTCATGTCAGGAACTCTCGCTGTCTAAGACGCGACAAGTGCTGTACAAACTGTCGCTCCGTTCGGACTTGCAGGGCACGGGTGCAGTACTAGCGGCAGGCAATAAGCTGTCTCGACACCTCTTGCTGCCTCAATGCAATCATGGATGCGTGTCATAGAAGGCACAGTCCTTGTGACTGCTGCCAGGCAGCAGCACTCTCCTTGCTGTCCGTTGAATGGCGCATTGTTGCAGCCCTTGCGGGCACAAGTCACACCTGTAGCCTCAGCTCAACTGGCTTTCCTAGCTTTGTGCATCAAGTTGACCAAATTTATCAAGGCTTGCCCCTCAATTGCGCTTGCCGAACATGGATGCAGCACTAGTGGCAGGTGTTGCATTGCCTCGACAGCTGAAGCTGCCTGATCTGAGAGAATGCGCCATCAACATGATTCTCTTTGCACTTTGGTGACTGCCAGGCAGGCTGCAGTACTCTCCGCGTTGTCCATTCCAGGGTGCGTTCTCGCAGCCGTGGCGGGCGCAAGTCGCCCCTGCAGCCTCAGTTCCCCGAACTCACCGCACAATGGGTTCAGGCTGTGGCCATTGCATCCCACGAAACGACAAGCAATGACAAGGTCGTACCAGTTGCGCGTGCACAACATGGTTGCAGCACTAGCAGCAGGTGTTGCAAGGCCTCGACATCTTCTGCCGCCTGACATGCCTTCTCTAAGAGAAGACACAATCAATGTCACAATCAACCAAACTTTCACAGCACTGTCGTGCTTGCCAGGCAGGCTGCAGTATTCTCCATGTTGTCCATTCCACGCTGGTCTCTTGCAGCCGCGGCGGGCACAAAGCACGTCAAAAGCCTTAGCGAATTTCTTGCCGGCGGTGTTGCTTGGTGGGCGATCAAAGCTGCGCAGAGACCGGCGCGCAAGCTGACTGTACTGCTTTGCTACTGGAAGTCCCACGGCACAACCGTATGACAAGAGTGTCGTCGAACGTGCTTCCCAAGCCCGCGCCTCATTTAGGCCTGCCTCTGGATTCGGAATGTAGCCCGCGCCTAGCAGCTTCAGAAGATAGGCGTTGTGGATGTATGTCAGAATTTGGGCGCCCGCGTTCTGTTTCTCTCCCCATTGACAGCAATCGCAAAATGAAGCCCTTGTAACTCACTGCCAGGTGCTCACAACCCAGGCGGGCGAAGCCAGGCGCTCGGGTCGGACTAAGGCCAAGAAACAGAATACGATTCAGCACCCGCGTAATGTGTAAAATTGCATGTTCCTAGATTGGACACGGAAACAAGCGGAGTCCACCCTGGTTTTGCAAGAAGGCAAGGGCTCGTGTCTTCCTGAAAATGTTTCTCCATATAAAACCCGGAACTGGACAGGTCATCGGCTCTTGGCGGCAGCTACTTTGACCGGGCCCGCCCCCTTTCGCACAAACATCGATATGGGGGGGAGGGGGGGGGGGGGCAGGATTCTCGCTACAAACAAGCAAAAGAGGACGGCCTCTGGATAGAAAAGGCGCCAACCACGACATGGTCTCGCTGCTGAGCACAATTGAGCCACCTCCACGGCTCACACTGGTTCCTTCAAGGCACTCCATGTCAAAAACCAGGCACCAGGCCCCCCCGATGGCCGGTAATTGGCGTCCCGGGTGAAGTGCCGGCAATTGGCCAGCACTTGCTTAAAAATGGTTTTGTAGTCACATAGTTTTTTTTGCCATCATCAAAGTGCAGTGAAAAGTCACTTTTGTTGAAACGTCACTTCAGGATACTAGATAGATGGGATCCAATTGAGGGGTTGGGCTGGCATGTATGATCATTGCACGTGCAACGCGCGGGGGGGGAGGGGGGGCGACACGCTGGTGACACGCTCATATCCCAAAAAAGTGACCGTTCAACGTGCATGTGCCGGCAATTGGCCACCCCCCGACACGCCGTGACACGCCGTGACACGCCGTGACACGCTCCTCAAGAACCCCTCCCAACCTCAAACTTGCCCTCCAAACCTCAAATTTGCTGCTCTCCCCTTTCCCCTGCAACCCCATTCCAAAGGACCCTGAAAGGTCACTTGTATCATTGCACAAATTGCACTAAGTACAGATGAGTGATACTTGATAGCAAATTGCTTTTGCAGTCACTTAGACAAAAAGTGACATCGTTTTGCCCAAGATCGATGTGCCGGCAATTGGCCAGCCATTGGGGGGTGCTGGCATTGATTGCAACTCTGAGGTCAAACAAGGCAACCTGTCAAACTTGCTCAACATCCTGCGTCAACTGCTCACAGCTAAAACTATCTTCCGAGACCGATTCGTAGGTGTGGAAAGATCTGCTTGACTCTGTCAGCGCAACTGGGTGTTCAAACCAGATAGTGTATTTTCATGGTGCAACCTCAATTCCTGCAAACGAAAATTGAACGGTGTTGAAAGTGCAAATGCCTCGGCTGATTCAAGCTCTTCAAGATGTCAAGACATTGTTTGCTCCCTCAAGCCAACCAATCAGATACCAGGCTGGGCGCAGAATCATCCCTCTCCTTGCTCTGGGTTTCCCTTCTCTGCCGCTTGGTAGATACTGCTCCTTCCCCGCGCTTGACATACTTGCAACACGTCAGCCGGGCTCCTGTTGCCATCGTTCAAGTATTGCACATGTGCCGGCGCGATATGCGTTACAGCGCGCCTCGATCCACAAACAACCTGCAAGCCGCATCCCGGCAGCAACACGCCATTGTTTTGCTCCGCTCCCCGATCCTGCCACAGTCTTGCCGAGGAAACGAGCAGAGCAATCCTTGACTAGAAGATGTGTCCTGTGCGAGTGACCACTGTTGAAGGCAATGTTTCGAAACACATCATACACGCGTCTGGCAAGCAAACCAGCATCTTGGTCCTCTACACAAACGTCAGCAGGGCAAAACAGCGGCTTGACACAGAAATAACAAAGAACTGTCCTTCTTAACCTGCTACAACCCTGGCCGCGCCCGCCCGCCCAGCGGCGCACGAGGAAGACGGAGACAACGCGACAAGCTTCGAAAGGCCTCTGGCCGCGGCCTGGGCCTCCGCGGATGCCTACGCGGCGTACATACCCTTCAATGGGCCAACAGGAATTTCTGAGTTCGCGCTGATCACCCAACGCGCCTCAATTTCCAGGCGGTATACTGTAAAACGACACACGCCTGCGCAAACGTGTTCGAGTCACCTGTGCAGAACGCCTACCCCATCCCACCGCCCGGCTTGCTTCCGCAGAGGCAAAAGACTGCGAACACCCGCACAAACACATAGCAAAAAACTCTGGCACGCCACCGCCCCCTTCCCGCCGCGCTCGTATCGCACGCGCAAAAACGCGCAGCAGATCTGCCTCTCCACACGAAGCCAGTGTTGCGGATCGAAAAGGTGAGCCCTGCGCAATCTCAACTGTCACGCGAACCTGCAAAACCCTCCGGCGCCGCCTCCAAGTTTTGGAAAGTTTGGGCCTGCCCGGACACACCTCACTGAAGCGCAAAAATGACGAGAGCTAACTTCGCTGCTTCTCTGCAAAGCTTTGAGGAGCTTCCCTGGACCTGGCGTGAAGGCAAGAACCTGGAGATCGCTAGCTACTCTTGGCAGAGTGCGGCCGCGAGTCAAGTAAAGGAGCTAAAGAAGCACAGACGACAAGGCAGCAGCCGCTTCTTGAGCACTGAAGTTAAATTCTTGCCTGGCTTCCTAGTGCCCCTCGCGCACCTGCCTGGCCCTTGCGATGTAAAGCTACCGCGCGCGCGTGGCAGTGAGGGCCGAAAATAGCCTAATTCGCAGTTTGGACACATCCGGCTAGAAAACCGCTTGGCTCCAGCTGCGCGATTGCTCCACATGGCTTCTTGCTGAATGAAATTGGGAAAGTATCGGTCAAGCATGTTGCTTCACTGTTTGCCCCCGAAAGCCCTGTACACATCCAGCTCATTCCCAGTGTGGCATCGCAAGTTCTTGACTGTCTGCCAGCGGCACGAATTAGCATGGCTCAGAAGGTGCAGGCGGCCCACATTTGCTTGCGCACTTCTCCAAACTGTCTTCCTTGGTGGCTAGCAGGCAGCTCTGAATTGTCATTGAGAACACCAGGCTTCAGAGAGTTAAGCCTGCCCATGCTTGAAATCCGCCAACCCCGTCTTGTTGGGAGGCCCGAAACCTGCTCATCGCGACCCTGGCGGCTGTTGCGCTTTTTTGCCCTTCTCAGGCGATGCTTCACCTTGATGCTGCCATGCCTCCTACAGGCTGTGCTTGAAATTGGGTAATGAAATCTAGAGACGGCATGTGGAATTGTTGGGGCTCTCGTTACGGCGTTGTTGCTGTTGTTGCTGTTGTCGTTGCTGCAGCTGCCACTGCAGCCACCGCAGCGGCGATCCAAACTGTTGGGCCCATGAAAACATGGTGGTTGGCTTTGCATGTCTAAACCCTTGCGGACTTTCGAGGGCTAACTCGCCTAACTACCCAACTGACGAACTAGCTAACTGGCAAATAAAGCTAATTAATCAATTAGCTCACGAGTAATTAGCGAACAGACTAACCAGCTTACTTTTGAGCTGCTACCTACCCAACCCTCTCAGTAGCCAAGTAGCTAGCTAGCGATCGCAGCAGCTAGCTAGCAGACTAGATAATGGTTGGTTAATTAGATAAGTGGCAGACAATCTAACTGACAAGATAGCAAATCTAAGCAGCACTCAAACTAGCTAACGGCACAGATCGCTAACTAGCCAACCAGCTGTCTGACCCGGGCTTCGCCAGCTTTACTGGTATGTTCAGTTTGTACCTGGAGCAATCAATTGCCGTCAGCTGAGCATAACTTCGCTTCACAAACAAGTGATGCAGCTTCTGAGTTGGTCTCAGATTGCTCTCTAGGCGATCTAAGCACAAATGCTACCGTTGGTGTGTCCGGGTTCGGAACATTGCGCTAACTAAATTGCGTGCATTTCTTCAGACCGGTCACAGCTCTGACTTTTAAAGCAAACAAAGTGAGTTCAGCAGCAGCAGCAGCGGCAGCGGCGGCAGCGGCGAAGGCGGCGGCAGCGTGCAAGATTACGCATGTTCATGCTCGCTGCTCATGCGCCTTGTCTGCAAGCCGCGGCACCTTTAAACCAAGGCGCATGATCGATCCTAACATCACAACTGGACCGCGGCTGCTGAGAAAGTGTGGCTTTGACTCCGAGGACCTGTAGCAGCTGTTGACCTTTCAAGCAACGGTGACCACCTCATGGCTCAAAGTTGATGATTCTAAGCTGCACACAATTCGCCATTGCCGAATCAGCCCATTGCGAAACATCCGCCTTTTTGACCAAGAAATCTATGTCAAGCCTGTCTGAACTTTGTCCCTCAATGTTGCAAACTGCATTTGGTTGAAAGAGACCCTAGCAACATCTACCCAAACCGCGTGCTTTGTCTGGAACTTCCAGCAACACCAGAGCATGTCAGACTCTGCGCCCTCTGTCCAAAGGCTTCAGCGACAACAGCCTTCTAACAAGAAGCACGCTGTGTCCCTCTGGAAAAAAGGTGCTTCTAACGCGGTAACAAACACGCCCCGTGTCCAAAGGCGCCAGCAAAATCAGCACCTGCCATGTTTGCGACTTGTATGTAGATGTTGCACCAGGGTGTGATGTATTGATCATCATCCGATCAGCCATCATCAATCATCATTAAAGAATCGGGCAGCTCTGATGATGATGGGATGATCATCTGCTGCAAAGCCAACTGTTGGCAGGAGCAACCAGCCATTCGTCAACTCGGTTCAGCTGTTTGGATCCAAATGTCCCAGCCGCAACATATTTTGCTTGGGCCAACCAAGACGGCCTAACCAGACGCTATTTACAACCGGCCATTGTTTACTCGACCAGCCACTCTTTACCGTTGAGCCGGCCATTGTTTACTTAGCCGAAAACGTTTGCGAGATCTGAAGCCGCTTTGAGGCACTTGTTTCGCAAACATGTTTCTGTTGACAGTGTGGGGCCTGAGCCCCTGCTTTCCCAGGCAAGGGATGCTTGCGCAGGCAGCGCTTTTGATGTTTCAGTCGGCTTGCTGCAGCGCCAAGTGCGCGCATGTGGCAAGCTTTGACGAGATTTGCAACCACTTCAAGGCCTGATTTTTGCAAACGTATTTGCTGTTGTATACACAAGCGGCGGGCAACGCATTTATAAACTTTGTGTTGCCGAGACGGGGGGTTGCTACCACGGCGTTGCCACCCCCGTTTCTTCCGAACACACCAAACTTTGGACTGGCTTTCCCTTTCAACACTCCTGAGTAACATGGGTGTTCCCGAGTTACCCTTGAGCGCCGGCAAGTTTTCCAGTGACCCTTGTGTTTTGAATTGTGATTCGGCTATTCCTTTGCATTTATGACTTCGGCTATTGAATTGACTGCGCACTTTGGCCTGAAACTGCATAAGCTTTGCTGTAAAGGGCGCCCGTCCTTCTACAAAACACTGTCACAAAGTAAGCTTTCCCCCCAAGGCCGCACGAATATCCAAGCTGGTCCAGACCCAGTTCTGGCTTATTATTGAGGAGGCGGCAAGCAACAAGAGAAGATGCAAACACACCCGCAACCAAACAAACTGACAGACGCAC